TCTGCTCCTATGATGCTGCTTGGCCTGCTGTGTTCATCCAGCCCTGCACCTTGTTGTCTCCAATCATCCATTTAACCCCACTCTTTGCTTTCTGTTAGTTAACCAATCCTCTATCCATGCTAATACATGTCCCATAACACTGTGCACCTTTATCTTATCCAGCACCCTTTTGTGCGCCACCTTATCGAATGCCTTCTGGAAATCCAGATACACAACATCCACTAGTTCCCCATTGTCATGCTCGTAATGTCCTCAAAGAATTCCAGTAAAACACGACCTGCCTTTCATGAATCCATGCTGTGTCTGCCCGATGGGATAATTTCTCCGAAATGTCTCGCTATTTCTTCCTTGATTATTAATTGAAACTTTTCCCCAATACAGATGTTAAGCTGACAAGCCTATAGTTACCCGTCTTTTGTCTACCTCCTTTTTCAAACAGTGGCATCACACTTGCTGTTTTCCATGGCTCAGTTGGTGGCACACTCTATTGCATCCAAGCTCAGTGGTTGAGCGTTCAAGCCTCACTCCACAGCTAAATTCATAATGATATTTTTGATGCGGTATACATATAAGGGATCTAAGTCAGAGACACTGAGAGTTTGAAGTTACAAAGATGGTGGGGATCAGACTGCATGTGAACAGCTCTGATCTGCATGTCATTAAAAAGAGATGGAGGCACCAGAGAAGGTGTGACATGATTTCTGTAGCAGAGATTCTGAACAGAAATGAACAGGCTGACCTCCCTTGAAAGAGGTTGAAAGGTGACTTGATAGAGACCCTCAGAATTCTGAAAGGGATTGACAGGGTGACCGTGGAACAAATCTTTCCACTGAAGTTGTGGGGAGGTCTAAACTATGGGCCGTTAGTACTGAAAAGTCCAATAGGTAATTTGTTTATTTAACCTAGAGAACTTGCTGAAGTATGGTTGATGTGAATGGTCATTTAAGGAATAACAGAAGAGGAAGAAATACAAGAGAGATAGGTGGGTTGTGTGAAACATGGACCCTATAGCCGATTTCACTTTGTCAACAGCATAAGCACAACCATTTTGCGGCCCCTTCAGTTCTGAAGAAGTCATTTGAATATTCTACATAAAAAATTTAATTCCGCTTCTTTCTCTGCGGCCAGAGTTGCATTTTACAACATTTTCAGTTGCAAGGACACAAACCTGCATTTCCCCAGCAGGAAACAATGATATTTCTCAAATTTTACTTTTATTGAACGGGCCCATTCTCACGAATAAGCTCCAGATGTTTCACTCGTTATTGGAGGTAGGGCACTTTCAAATCCGCCATCTTACCGGAAGTTCTCTATCTACACTCCAGAGATTTTTGGAACTGAAAACATTGTTGTTGGAGTCAGGAGGCAGTTGTCCTGAATCTGGACACTGGACTTTGGCAATCTGATTCAAATTAGAACATTAAATGATGCTTTATTCTCTCGTTTGATAGTTAAGTTTATTAGGTTTTAAATCCGGAAGTGTCGTCCTTTTATATTTCCAGTCGGTGGTGGCCCACGTGTTTGACCCGGAAGTTCAGTTGTTATACTCGATTTTACGGGATGGACTCCAGCTTGATGGAGGTGACTCCTGGCGTGGTCTCTGCTCCACTGGCCCCGGAGATAGTCGCCTTCCTGCAGCAACACCCAGCGCTGCAGCCCGATCACAACAACCGTGTAAGTGCGAGACAGTATTTATTTACTACCTCATTATTCTTTAAATGCCCCCAACCCCTTTAAACACCTGCTTGGTCCTTTTAAGTAGCCCTACGACTAATTTAAATACCTGCTTGTCTGTTTAGATGCCCCCAGGATGCCTTTAAATACCTCCACGGTCCCTTGAATTTACCCCTTTAAACAACAAGTAGTTCATTGAAATGCCCCCATTGTTACATTGGCCTCTTGCACTAACCTCTGTCACAATAAATTGCAGTTCCCTTCCCTCTTTCCCCACCACACACCCCCCCCCCCCAACCAGCTGACTGATTAAGATCCAAGGGAACAAAAATATGCAGAGAGCTGCATAGGAAGATCCCAGGTGGATTGTACAACACAGGGCAGCCATTGTGATTTTGGATGAGTAAGGAATATTGGGCCAACACACCAGGGAGAACACACTAACCCTCTTGCTCTACATTCAGTTAAAATTACTGCAAACATTTTCATCTGAATAATGTTTGTTTTGTTGTATGGTGAAGGTGAAATGTTCTCTGACTGGGCATGAGTTGCCATGCCGACTGGCAGATCTGCAGACCTACACCAAAGGCAAGAAGTACCAACGCCTGGCAATGAAGGAGCCATTTAATTTCAGTCAATTTGAGCCACATATCGTCCCCAGCACTAAAAATCCGTAAGTGTCAGATGCTTAGCATCCAAGGGTTTAAAGCAATCAAACACTCCTGAGGACGGGTACAGCATGGGGTCAGCGCTGGGGGAGCGCCGCACTGTCGGTGGGGGGTCAG